CAACAACATCGGCTCTATTGCGCGAATGTGCGCTCTCAACGAGAAGATCGACAAAGTGAGTTGAGCTGTCTCTGACGAGGAAATACTTACTTATATTTTCTCTGGCCAACTTTTAGGTCGTCTTCGTGGGCAACTTTCTGCGCGTGAATCCCATCTCGATGAAATTGCTTGCCTACGCCATGGAGTTCTGGTCAAATGGCACCATGAAGGGTCTGTTTTTGGAGCACGAAGGCTACTTCGGTGCCTTGGGTTGCCTGCTGCAGTTCAATGGGGAACTGGCTGCAGCGCTCAACGAAAGTCTGGATCATTCGCCGCCGCCGCCGAACACAACGCCGCAACAAAGTGCCGCGGAGCCGTCCAAAGAAAGTCCAGCCACCGCCGCAGATAAGCCAAATGATAGCACAACCAGATAGTCGTTTCGTTTCAACTGAATATCAAATATTGTATCATATTATATAATAACTTTTGCATCTGAGAAATATTAATATCGAAACTGAACAAAGGGGTTTGACAAACGGATGCAGTTGGGTGCATTTTCTCGCTATTAACGATATTTTTTCGCACTTGGATTAAGATTAAACTCGTAGAAGATGCACAAATTGTAAATGTATGAATGGAACAAATATTGATGAAATTTGTAATTAATAACTGAATTGATGAAGTGCCTGTTAAAACGCAACAAAATTAAGGCTTCAATTTATGATAAATAGCTGTTATAATAATATGAACAATTGAAGGCCAGCAGTAAATTTTCGAACGTTATTATTGGACGTCAGGTAGCTTTAGAAATTTATTTTCCAAAATCATAAATTTAAGCACACATACTATATATTAAAGTATTACTATATACTTGAACGCATAAAATAGATTCTCTTAAATTTGATATGACAAATGTAATCACATCTCATAAACTATTTGAGAGAGGAAATCAAGAAATTGCTCATAAAACAATACCACTACATGCATATGCAATATAACAGTTAAGTTTTTTTACCTTAATACAATTTTGTTCATATGAAACATGGAGATATGTTTTTACTGAATTTTAAGGCGTCTTTGTTTAACTTAAGTTTGTGGTCTATTATTATAAGATTTTACCTTGTCAACTATTATTACAATAAGCTGGTCAATGCAATTTGTTAATCGAAATTATATTTCAATTCGGATTCTCTAAGCTGAAAGGCAAAATGCGAGTGCAAATAAAATATAAATAATCAACTGGGTAAACAAACAAACATATTTAATTCAACAATTGATAAGAAGGTAACACGTTTTAATGATCTAAATGCATTCATATACATGGGTGACTACTTAATTTTATTGTAAGACTCGAGCTGTCTTTTGGATTACAACTTCTTTCATTATCTTATGCTATCAAGAAAATCACTGTAATCCCTTTCGGTTGCGTAGTTTGTGCCAAAGTCGAAGACGCGCAAGTTGTGATCCGTGGCCACGAACATGTATTGGCTATCACAGGCCAGGCTATAGACCGGCGAAGTTCTGTACTGTTGGCGTCCTGTGTTGCGGCCCGGAAAGTACAGCTGTATATATTTGCCAGGCACACGAATATCGTAAAGATTAACACGACTGTGATGCTTTGCGCCACACAGAACGGCATAGAGTCCGTCATATTCGAGACAGTAGATAGAAGAGTCAAAAGGATCCTCCCATATGGAAACATCACGATCCGTGCGACGATCGAACATGCGAAATGTGGTATCAAAGTTGGCAGTGAATATCACTTGATAGTCCTTTAGTTTTAGATCGTAAATGGAAATGGTATTTGAGTTCAACACAAGCTCTTCGCCACTGAAAAATTGAGTATATGTAAAATAATATGTATGATATATAGATACCTACCTCTCCACGTGAATGGCACGCAATGCTTTGCGGCCTGTATCCGTATATAAGCCTCCATAGAGCCACTGTCCATCGTCGCTTAGCTTCATAGACTTAAACGAATGTTCCAACCGCATAAACAGATCAAAATGCGATAATCCAAACTCTTTGGAACGCTTCCACAGCTTACAGCAGTTGTCTGTGCTGGTCGCGTAAACATCGTCCACAAAATCCACACAATACAAATACTCTTTGGCATGGTGCATTTGCTGCTCGGTAATATCTTCGGCATCCTTCACGAAGCAGGTGCCACACACTCGTCCAGCAAATATGGTGTCCTGCTTCTTTACAAAGTCCGAGATATCCGATAAGGTGGGTGTACTGATCTCCTCCTCATAGCGTCGCTGTAGTGCTTCGGGACCAGCCCGACGATATTTGCGTAAATAATTCGCGTGCGTTATATACAGTGCGTCCGATTCTAACCAAAGCTTCGAAGCGAACATTTGCGCATGGTGGTAATAATGTCGTTCCACATAGACGCCTTTAAGCCAATTTCTAGATATTTGTAAACGCCGCAGATAACTTAGTTGTGTTGGATTCCTGGAAAACACAATAAGCAATTAAATTCAATTCAATTTCGATATCGAAAGCTATTATACCTTAGCTCCACACATGGTTTATTTCTATGTCCACATAGTAGCAAATCCTTTGTCAGGGCATAGAATATGTTCTGATCGATGACTGCTTTAAGATAGTTGTTCGCCTCACACAAGATAATCAATTCGCGTTCAGACAGATATTTAAAAATTCGCAAAAGACAGTCGATGTTTAGATCTATAAGCTTCATTTTGTTGGTTTGAATTGCTTAAAGCAATAATTGATGTTGCTTGGTAATGTCTTGCATTTATTACTATGCAATGGTTGGACGTGAAGCTGGTATTCTTTCCTTCTATGGACATCATACGCACAAAAATAACTGGTAAACACGGGATTTAGTTAATTTTTATTAAGTAAAAAGCTCCTTCCTTCTGACCCTCTGTAGTCTGCTTCTTGCCAAATGCATAACAGAGGCAATATATTAACATTTTCTGTTATCAATAGTCAAATTTGGTATTCGATATTTATATGCGCAATATATCGATAGACGGATAGCTGCCAAAAATCAACAACAGCGAAGCTACATTCAAATTTTTTAAATGCGTAACGGACAATAAAACAAAGAAACTTTCATATATATCTATATATATATAGATATCACTATATATAACAATATAGATATATATTCTTATTGCTTTCTTTAAATGATTGCCTATCTTTTCACATGCACATAAGTTATTTATAAAAACTGTACATAAAATGTTATTTAATAGTTGCGCTCGCATCAATCACCCCCGCCATATAAACCCAATCAATTAAATGTCAGGTTGTGAAACCAGCCAAAAGACACGAATGTTGTCAGTGCACATCAATGCGCTTAGAGTTATTTAGCACAGTCTTTCTCTAATTAGTGATAGAACTTTAGAGAGATACATCTGCGCTAAATACCAAAAATAAAGCACATGCCTCTGTCGTCTGCGATGCTAGCCGTTAACTAAGAGGAATTTTTTGCAATGATTTGCATAACTTGATGATTCTTAATCTAATTCGCCTATTGAGTCATTGAGTTATTGTTAAGCACCAATACGAAACTCAAATTTGATTGTTAACTAATAAATAAAGATCGAGAACTACCCAGAACATTTTCATAATTTATATGCGCTTTAATTATCTATAATTTCGTACCTAAACATTCCAAAATATTATCAACAAAGTTCTAGAAGTACAACCACACCTAATTAAAAGTATTCCGACATTTTCAACTCAAGAGAATTGTCGCTATCACATAGGCCACATATGTATGTACGTAGGTGATGGCGCCTACGTTACTCTCTGCAGGTTTAACGTTCTTACGAAATTCTCTCGCCAATTTTATAATATTGTACTATCTACATGCATACGTTGTGTGTATATATGTATGTGATGTGTTTCTAGCTACGTAGAAGTTGGCACGTCGACACTACGTTAGGTCGCCTATTGCGCCGTTAACTAAATACATAGTTAGTAAACAATTTTGTTTTTTTGGCAACTGGTATTAATGGAAACTTTGATAAAAAAAAATATACAAAACATAATTGTAATGCTATATTGCATGTTTTCATTTTTATATACGGAAATATTTCAGGTATTTCACAAACTCATTCAATTTCGTCTGTTTTGAATGGTGGTTGAATCAAATATTCAGGAGGGGTTTTTTGATGTGTAACTGGGGTTTTTTTATTTAAAAAAATGCCCTTTCTATTTCATTAAGCTCTGCATCTATTATAACACATCCTTTTTTGAGTATATGAATAAATGTATGCTTGTATATGTATATTTTTCATTGTTAAAAAATTGCTATAGTTTCAGATTCACCTATACGAATTTTGAGAACACGTTCTGGTTTTTGAAAGGGTATTATTATTATTTTTTGTTATGACATTATGTAAGAGCTAGCCCTCAAGAATTCTTCTTTTCTATTCCATTAACAAATATTAACTGATAAGGCTCTTATCAACAGATTAGCATTTCCCACGTGCTGAAACATTCGATATTCCCACACAATTATACTTGGGCAATCAACTAAATAGACAATGACTAGTAAAATATATAAGTAAACTAACTAATTTAACTTTAACCATATAATGACAATCAAAATTGACTTTAATTAACTTGATATATTTTTACATATATCAAAATATTACTTTTTTCTGTAATATTAAGGCAATAGTCGAAATATTCAGAGCCCAAACATCTAGAAGCTTTATAGCAAAAATACATTCTGCATATAGAAATACATCTAAAAATGTTTAAAAACTATTTAAATTAAAATAACACCAAAAAAGTTTTTGTTTTTTTTTTTTTTCAAAGTGAGATCAAAGTTTTTATTCGTTTCATAATTTTTCACTTTTTTTTCTTTCTATCATTCATCATAATATGCGCAAAAATTAAAAAAAAAATGTATACATAGATTTATATAATAAATAACAATTTGCTTTCATTGCCATTGTAAACATTGAAAATAATGCTTTCCATCAAATTGATAAGTTCCAACAATTTACAGCAAAATATTAATTTATGTATTGTACATAAGTTTCTATTAGGAAGAATCAGTTGCAGTTGCAATAGTTACGAGGACGATTCGCATACGAATTTGGATTCTTACATATGAAGCAATTAAAAGGATCCTTCAAGTAGAGAACGGTCTAACGTTACTTCGTTACTGTTTTGGAAGGCAGTGAGAGTTTTTATGTAGTTACTAATTTTGTGTGTGTGTTTTTGTGTACGTGTAAGGTGAGCGAGGCTACAAAGTCTTTTTGAGTGCGAGTGTCAAAGGTGAGCATCACACCTTCGCGAAGGATGTTGACGTGAAGAGCGCGGCCGCCTTAGCCCTGGCTATCTTCGTAGAGCGCAGGTAATCAATGCGCCTCATGCAGAGAGAGGTCCACAGAATTGAGTCTTGAATCCAATCAAGATCACGCGCCAGCGTATACGAGAGAGCGAGCTTCCAGTGGCTTCTTGTGTGTCTCCGTGTCAAGCATAGGTCAGCCCATATCCTCGTCAGCATCTGCATCGGTTTCAGTTGAACTGCTTAGAGTGCTGGAGCTGGAGCTGCTTGTTTGGGCCATTTGCAGAGTAGTGTGGGTATAGTCTAGCGGCTCCACACCGATGTCGTCGTCAAACTCATCTTCCGGCTTCTCACCAACCAGTGGGCAGATTTCACTCATGTCGCCCACCTCCATGCTTTCATGACCATCCTGATCCTCTTCGACATCCCAATCGTCGGCAATTTGCACATTGACGGGCAGGTACAAATGGAACGGCTTCTGCTCTCGCAGCCAGGGCGTTAGAAAAATGTGAGTTGCCGTCATGCGCTCAGTGTAATTCTTGCGCAGTAGCGAGAGCATTAACCAGCGAACCGACTTGGATAACGACATTGGTATTTGGACATTGCCATGCCTGATTACCGTTATCAGATTGCAGTTGGCCTTCTCGTAGAAGGGATACTGGCCAACGAGCATTGTGTAGAGTATGACACCCAATGACCACATGTCCGCCGGCTTGCCCTGGTACGTGGGCTGTGGACACAGCAGTTCCGGTGCCGTGTACAGTGGACAGCCGATCTTGTCGCTAAGCGTATCATCCTCACCATCCAGTATCATGGAGCCCTCCAGCGATTCGTACTGCAGTTTCGTTCTGTAATCATACAAAAAAATAAATACATTCCAAATTAATGCTAATTCCATTTTATTTATTGCGCTCTGCGCTTGCAATCGCAGTTAAATGCAGAGTTGCATAATTTTCAAAATTGATGGTGTTGCCATTTACTATCGCATTACAAAAGACAGACACAGAGAGGGAGAGAGACACACGAATCGATTGGCATTGCGTTGGCGTTGGCATTAGCGTTGATGGCGTTGCCAGCCCTAGTGAAGCGAACTTGCTGTGAGCGTATGTAATTGATATAACCACAAAGCCAAAGCGTGCACCCATCTCTAACAAAGCTGGCGACCCCAAACACCCAAGAGCGGTGACACCATGTTGACATTGGCCTACATTTTCATGCAAAAAAAAAAAACTGAAGAGAAACAGAGAAACAAAGAGAGCGCTCGCTCAACTTGGGCCTATTTTTAAGTGACACTGCAGTGGCTGTGGCAACTCCACCTACGGCTTTAAAGTTGAAACAACAATGACAACAGATAATAAACATTGGAAAAAAAAAGTTAAAAGCTAAGATAATTAAGTGAGCGCCAAAAGCTCAACAATATTATTTTTTCGATTGTGCCATGAAACAAACAAACAAACATACACACACACGCGAGCACACACACGAGCTAAAAAACCTCGAGCTGACCCTGAGCAAAAATGAGCAACCAAAATTAAAATTGAGCGAGCCTTTTGCCATCAAACAAAATTACAATACAAACTACGATCCATGCACGAGAGTGATTCAAAGAGAGAGCTTGAGAGAGAGAGAGCAACGGGTAGTCTAGCTGTTACAACAAGCGACCTTGTTTGCTTACAGAAGAGGGAGGCGAGCATTGCGCAGCCTATTCATTTGAAGAGCGAACACGATGGTTCGCTCTCCCTCTCGCGCTCGCGTTGATATTAACAAATTGTATTTTCCAAAAAGATACTCGCACCATCAATTAGACTGGAGAGGAGAGGTGCGCTGAGTGTGGAGGAAGTCGATGTTAATACGTGCTGCTAATTTAAATGCTATTTAAATATCTATACGCGAACAGAAAATAATAATGCATGAACATACATACAGAAGATCAGAGTCAGGGCCGTAGCACAAATTGACCTTAAAGTCGAATGGGTGCGTATGTGTGTGTGTGAGTATGTATAGATGCATGTGATTTAGATTGGGTATGTGTAAATATTGAATATTTAATATAAGTCTGCTCATCGATGTCTGAAAATCGAGTATTGATCATATAAGTACCATTTAAATACCATATTTTGTTATTCTGCATTCCACAATTGTGTATACTTTGTACTGTATATATATGTCTCAATTGTTTTTCGAGATAATTGAAATTGACTCAAGTCTTTGAGTGTACAGGAATCAGTTTATTTGGCTTAATAATTTATTTACTAGGTAAACACATCTATTCAGCTATTATCTCAATAAAAAGTAAACAATAATAATAAAAGGTCTAAGGAATCTTTGCAATCTAATGAAATTACCTAAACGCAATTAAGATAATAAAATTGTATATGATAGATGAAAGATTGCGATAGTATATACATATGTATTTGCTATAGAAACAAGCAAATGAATTTATAAAATACTTGATGAATCTGATAAAGATTACATTGTGAACAAAATAAATACGTTTGTAAAAAAGCAAGTTGGCAACATGAAAAGCGGAAAACGTCAATGCAATAAATTTGCTAATTGCATTGGCAATGGAAACGTGAAAACAATACAAACAAAACAAGAAAAAGTTCAAAAACATTCAACAAGTATTGCTTCATTTGTAAGAACTATATACAGGCATATACACAAATATGTGTATATAAATATATAGTCAACATAGAGACTGAGAGAATCAGATTTACGTATATGCCTCTCACAATCAACAGGTACAGCAGAGACGAATAGGTACGAAAAAAGAAAAGTTATTTTGCTCGCCACGAGTCAAGATTAAGAATTTATACATACGTACGTGTATATATATATCACATATATATATACATACATCTGTACACGTCAGGCAAATGACGTGTGCACTTCGTAAGTACAAAAAAACGAAATACAAAAAAAAATGAATTATTTTGCAAGCGCACAGTACAAATTTTGAAGGTGAGCCTAACATTTCGACGTGTACTGTACTCACGTATAAGCACTCACACTTAAAACACACACATACACATTTACGATTAAATGAGTACAGAGTAGGAACCTCGCTGTGAGCATTTTGTACGCTCCAGATATATGTATGTATGCGTGTATATGCATGTAAGTATGTATGTCTATACGCAGTTTCATGTGCTTGTGTTGCTGCTGTATTATCAGTATTTTGTGTACACGTACACTGTTGACCAAAATATTGAGCACGCCAAAACGTTTACATAAAAGAACGCAATATTCTATTCACAGCGATGTATTTCATCAGGTACAGTAATTTCCCAAAGCTAAATACTCACACAGCTATACATACATATACAGGCATATTGTGTCGCTGTTGGTTGATCTATTCGCTGTTGCTTTTTTTTTTTTATTGCAACACTTCTTAAATGTTCAATGTTACCCACAACTGGCCGACACCGAACACAACAGCCACAACGTCAACGTCGGCCAATAACAAGAGCAACAATTGTGGCACCAATAACACCAACACACAAAAAAACAACAACTGTTGCTCATAACGAGTTTTTATCGAATTGCAAAATAAAGATATGCAACCAGTACAGCGAGCAAATGTGTGCGAGGTGTGAATGTGTGTGTGTGAGTGTTGGTGTTGCCGATGTTGTTGCTGGTAGTGGAGTAGTGTCAGTTCACATGCGGGTGTCCGGGGTAGGGTCACTACCAATCGATTACGAAAGCCATCAAATCACATGTACATACATACATACATGTGTATGTATTTATGTATGTAAATACATCAGTCTGCTAGAATTTGAACTAATCTTGTATGTTCATATGTGAACTCAATACAGTAGTGTCGCACAGCGAAATCCAAATGAAAATTATAGTGTTGCCAGATTTAGAAACGCAATAAAACTAGTTCTAACAGCAAAAGTGGGTAAAAGAAAGCGAGCAAAGCAAGACAAACAAAAAGGAAATTTATGGCAAGCTTAGAATTAAATATATATCCATCATTAATAAGCAAAGCTTAGAAATAAATTATAATAATAATAATATAAAATAATAATTATTGTTATTAATTCACTCGATCAACTTTAAACTTTGCTTTGTTCGCCTTGAAATATTTGTGAAACAATACAAATAATAGCGATGACTGTCAATATTGAAATATCGATAGTTTATGCAGATAGAGAGGAGCGAGGATCAACAGGTTACTAGTTCGTGGCGATTGTGGTTGTTTACATATTTGATACTAACCTCGCTTCGTCAATGAAGTAGAAGCGCTTCAGTTTGAGATCGCGCAGAATGATCCCGTTGCGATGGCACACCTGCACCGTCTGGCAGATCTGATGAAATATGGCGCGTGCCTCCTGTTCGCACAGACGCTTCTCATGGCGGATGTACGTGTGGAGGTTCTCATAGACATGCTGGGCGGGTGCGTTGATGATGTAGGTGCGATTCTTGGAGAGCGGCACCAGATCGTGGGCACCGCGAATCAGCTTATGGCCATAGATGGTGCTGCGGCAGAGCTCGTCGTCCTGCTCCAGCTGAAAATAGGCGCGTTGCACCTTGTCCAGCGGCTCGTTGATAATCTTACAGGGATACTGCCTGCCATTGTAGACGTCCATGCACTGCAGGTTCGATGAGGTCAGGTCGATCAGATGGCGATAGGAGGCGGGTGTTTTGGCTGCTGCTGCGGCCGAGATGTGATTAGGCTGGGCGCTAATCACATAGCGGTTCTTGATCACTCTCACAGGCTGTTCCACGCCTGCTCCAAACGCGCTAATGCTGCCGCCATTGATGTTGGTCTGCTCGGCAAAACTCAAAGCATGCAGCTCACATACGCCGCCGGGCGTTCGGAGAATCTTCTCCCTAATTGTGCGCAGCATCTGCGCTTCCTTTGTGGGCGTGGACATGGCGGAAGGACTGGACGTGGCTGATGTAAACACAGTCAATGCGGGCGTCACAGCTGCACTCGAAGCCGACGAGGCGTCCATGTTGATGTTGTTGTTGTTGTTGCTGCTGCTGCCACTGCTGCTGCTACTGCTCTCAGGAGTGGTCGCAAGTGCCGTTAGGAGACCGTTAACTATTTTGTTGCCATCCACACCATTCGTATTGTTGCTGCTGCTAACCATTTTGTTGTTTGTTGCTCTTGTTGGGGTTCCAAATGTTGTTTATGCACTGCTTGCCAGCTTTACAATTATCACAGTTCTTGCTATTTATTCACTTTACTAACTGCTATTTGACTTTAGCTCACGATTGGCATTTTCATTGCCTTTTCTGTGTTCATTCGTTTCTCTGTTGTGTGTGTGTGCGCGCGTGTAAGTGTGAGTAATTTTATTTATTTATTTTTATTATTTTTTGTGCTGACTTTAATTTCACTTGGTTGATGCAATACGGCACATTGCTTGCGAAATATTTTTAATAAACGAATATAATTTCGCGTAAGTTTTTGTAGTCGGCTGTTTGTCGATTTTAAAACAAATCGAACGATACAAAAATTCACTCACTCGCATACGCGAAATGAAACGAAGCGCGCCCGTATGTCTGCTCTGCTCTCTGAAATACAAATGGTTGCAATCCTCATTTTCGTTTCGCTTATGTATGCTTCGCATAGCTACGCTGCAAGAGGTTATACGCTTTAGAGAGAGATAACAAAACAAAACAACGTGACGTCACACACTCATACAACAAACAGCGTTCTTATCTGTGCCTGAAATAAACGTATATATTTTATGGAATTTGAACTCTTAATTATTTAAAAAAAAATTAATGTACATATATATATTTTAATGTATTCTGTCTATATAAATTGAACTCAAAATTATAGATCTATACAATGTAACTCATCTGTATTGTGTACTTCCGTTGATGTATGATCTAGCTCAAATAGTAAAAATAAATTATTTTGTACTTATTAATTGAAAAATATTAGTGCGGTCTATAATAATAAATAATACCTATAACATTCTGATTGCTTCGGCGATTTTCCACATAAATTTAAGTCTGTGACGTCAAGCTGTCTTCTAGATTTATGCTCTTGCTTGAAGTCAACTGTACATCGACTCTCGATGAGCAACCTTCAACAGTGAAATGGACACATATACACGAGTGACAACTGGAATTGAAACATACCAGGGCTTCGTTTTCAATACTTGCATTGGTATGTGTGAGAAAGTTGGCGCTAGTGCGACGTTATTTTCGAATACAACTGCGTGGAACGTTGAAATACAAGCGTTTGCCTTCACTTTACATGCCTGTACGCTTGCGTTTATAATTAAATGTACACGGAAATATTCTATTGAGAATGAAACGTTGATTTCAGATGCCATATGCCAGCGTTTTATGGGTTTTCAATGCTTGAAAACTACCCCTATATGCTATGAATGTGCACGCATACATACAATAAATATATATACATACATACTTATACAGTGAATACCGAAAGACGGTGACTGTAGCAGCTAGAGCAATCGCATGCGGTATGTGCATATGTATGTATGTTTTTATGTATGTACGTAGTAAATCAGCACACCTTTCATTTGCATTCCACAATGCACTTTCACTAAAGATGCTTCAAATTAATCAACCTATGAATAATTAACTATCGATGTGTATTTATAACTATTGATATACATACATATGTATGTATATATTTTGTATGTATGTAGATATACATACATGTATGCATATCTGTATGTATGTGTGTACAAATGCCTGCAATAATTATTCGATGTGCGCGTCGCAGTTTATGATTTCGTTGAGCAGCTGCGACTCCAAAAAATAAAGATCATTGGCCTACACACGGGGAATTATGCCAGAGCACAGAGCAGATCAGAAACATACAAATGCACATACACATGTATGCAATGCAGATGCATGTATGCATACATCTGTATGTGTGTATGCAGGTAAAGACAACTACAACTACAGGTAGATTTCCATTTTCCGAACTCCGCGTCTGCAGCAGCAACCCCTAAATTGTGAGGGATGGCTGTACGTCCGAGGATGTTGCAGCTGTTGCAAGGTGATTTCCAAGTATACATACCTACATACCATCGTGCAACCGAAAAAACAGATGTATGCATTTGTGCATGTGTGCATTCATCTGTCGATCTGGGTGCGAGGTGTGTTTGAAAAGTGCTAGTCTTTGATTATACTGTACTGAATGTGAAGCAAAACTAATTTATAGGAGGACTAGCATTATTTTTTAGCTTGAGATAAGTCTCATATTGTCTTTTACAAAGCTTTGCAATAAAAATGATTAATTTATACATATTGATAGTTAGTATTAAACATAGAACAATTGAATCCCACCTCGCACACTTATTGTTTGTACACTTAGGATTCATCGCATCACATCGTCTTTGGTTCCTCTGCCCCATAACGTTGCGTTTTTTTTTTTTTTTGTTTTTTGTGAACAGCCGGCATCCTCAACTATCACCTTGTGCTGCTTCAATACACGAATCTGGCAGAGCAAAACTTGTCAATGGCATTGGTACAGGCGCGTAGACATGAATACTGCGTTTAGGGGCCATCATCACATCACAGCGCATAGCCGGAAGACCTCTAAAGAGTAAACTACAAATACAAATCTGTTTCTCTATTAAAATCATTTTCGCTTTGCCTGAATTACAACGGCCAATATTCAAATCGCGAAACACCGCAGCTATACGAAACATAATTCACTTAATATCTCTCACATGCTGTAGAAGCTGTAGCACGCTCACATGAGTACACATACCCATTTTTGTGTGTGTGCATATGTATTTGTGTCTGTGAGTACGCACGCTGCGAGCGTTAATTTTGAATTTAAATTCAAAATACAAATACGTTAAGCTCAGTGCCAACGGACACATGCGCTGGCTGTTGCGCTTGCGAAATAGCGCCAAACTGATTTGTTGGCTCACTGTTTCTCTGCCGCTCCATCAAAAGTCATGCGTTCGAAACCCGTTTTTTTATTCATTACTCGCTCATATTCTAGCTTCAGATTTTTGTTGTTGCCAAGCTCGTAAGCTCTCGTATGAAATGCTTTTGCTCTCGCTCTTCGCACACAGGCCTTGGTCTCGTGTGCGATATGCACACAAACACAGTGCTTGGTATATGTGTGTGAACGTGTGTTTGAATGCGTGTGAAGTTTGCATGTATTGTATGCGTCACATGGCTGCGTCATCGGAACGTGAACTTGTTTATGTTATGACGATACTTTCGCGCTCTCCCTCTCTCCTCACACCTTGCTTTGTCAGCTTATTTCAATAGATAATGGAATCAGCGCTGCGACATTCCATTTCACGAATTTTCAATCTCGCACGAAATGCACGAACTAAATGATTTCTAAATGATTTTATATATTTTTTTTACTACATTGAGCAGACTTACGTGATGATAATTGAAAAATTGATTTTATAATTTTAATATTGAAAATAAAATAAATTTTGAGTAAATATTGATTAATTTTAAAATAAATTAAAATACCCATTATTGTAATTGTATTACAATTTTCCTAAATTTAATCTGTATTTAATTTTGCAAATTTCACCATATGTTTAATATACTGATAAATTGATATATATAAAATGAATCCATTTTAATATTGAAATATATTTTGAAAAATAATATAATTGTTTGCAATAAAAAGGAATTTAATTCAATTTAAATACAAAATTTCAAAAATCATAACGTTTAAGAACCTAGAGTACTTCATGTTTTCCTGAATATTTATAAGCATATTTCATTAATATATATGTAGTATATATTCACTTTTTCCTTAGCATTTGAAGCTTCATAAATATTTCGCCATATGTTTAATCCGGAAGAGTAATTACGCTCTATAGAAATTCTACTTGCATTACTCATTGATTTGCCAGATATTTTTATAAGTTTTCGACTGATGTGATCGAAACATTATAAGGCATACTTTTGGGGCTAGAGCTTTTGTTGGAAGAAGCGTATAAATAATCTAAAATGTTGATCAAAGTTTGCAGTTCTTAAGGTCTTACAACTCTAACCCTGAGGTCTGTAGCTAATGGAACTAAGAGTCCTCTAGAAATCAAAAGCTATTTGCCGGCTATCCGTTCTTTTGATGAATTTTTCGACTATAGGTCCTTTTTCAGACTCATAACCAAGCCCAAACTGTACCAAACCAAATAAACTCTCTTTAAAAGATTGATGTTTACATAAATATTTAATTGGTAGATATATTTATACATTTATCAAACGATTCAAATATACTTTAATATATCATCTTTAATATGTTGCAATTATTGTTATTATTTTTTGTATATATATATATATATATATTCATGTACACGTATAATGGATATAATAGAGAGTATATATGTAGGTATAAAGATTTCTGAAGTGGGCGTGGTACATAACATTGGATGGGAAGGTACTGTATTAACAATTGTTACAGGCAGGGCTGGCCACATATACAGGAATAACATATACATTTATTTATATATAGAGTTACATTAGTTTGTGTTCGTCTGACATATTTGTTCAACAAGCTTTATATATGTAAGTATATAATTTTCGATTGATGTAAATTGAATAACAGATCAAATATAGATACATACATATATATAAACGTGTTCTCATCGATTGATTTAATTTGGACTCTCTGCATTATCGTCGCATTCCTCGTCAACAATGGGCTTCTTATCGTCCACTTTTCGACGACCCAGGAAACGTTCGAGCACCGTATGCTTGGCCACATTCTTGGAAGCCTTGAAGGATCCCCAGTTGAGTTTGCCTGCCTCCGACGAGGTCATTAGAATGGAGTACGTGGAACAGGCTTCGCCCTCCTTGCTGTGCCGAATGCCGTACAGGAAGTAGACGACCATGCCTATGGTGACCCAGACAAAGAAGCGCACCCAGGTCAACGCATCCAGATGGACCATCAGCATAATATTGCTAAAGATGCCCAGGGCCGGCACGAAGGGCACCAGCGGCACCTTGAAGTTCAATCCGCGCGTGTTCTGATTGTGCACGGCCATGACGGCGACACAGGCGCTGGCCGCAAAGATGATGAAACCGTAGACGAGCAGAGCCCACCAGGTGCCGGAGTAGAGCTGCGCCCACGACACCTTCAGCTCCAGGCAGATGGCAAAGCTGAGCACAATGAAGAGCAGCACAGCCACCGAGACCACCGACCCAGGTGCGAAGCGGCCCAGCAGTGGCTCCAGCCAGCGAAATTGCGGCTTCAGACGGCCAGCCAGAGCGCCCTCAATCAGATCGCTTGTCGGGGATGCTGTATCGATGCTCGACTGCGAATCGGCATCCTCATCGTTCTCCTCGTCCGGCGTGTCTGGCGCATAGACGGGATTGGGCGTGCCCACGTGGGTGAGCGGGCGATAGCGCAAAATGATGACACTGGCCGAGACAATGGTGTAGGCGAGCAGCGTGCCAATGGACATGAACTCCACCAGCTTGGCTAGGTCGAAGACCAAGGCCAGAGCAGCACTCAGCAGGCCGGAGACAATCAGATTCAGCAGCGGCACCTGTGTGCTCTGGCTGATCCGCCCGAAGCAGCTGAAGAGCAGCCCGTCCGAGGCCATTGCGTACATGCAACGCGGCAGCGCATAGAGCGAGCCCAGCAATGTGGTCGTCATGCCGCAGAGTGCCCCAATGGAGATGATGTACTTCGCCCACGGCAGATGCAGCTGGCCAAAGGCCTCCGGCAGCGAGGCGGCCGGATTGATCTCGCTGATGGGTATCATGAGCGTGAGAGCCGCACTCACCAGAATATAGCCCACCGTGACGACGCAAAGGGACAGCACCGTGGCGATGGGTATGGAGACGGCTGGATTCTTGGCCTCCTCCCCGGACGTGGCTATCGAGTCGAAGCCAACGAACGCATAAAAGCAGGTGGCAGCTCCGGCAATTACGCCCCCAAAGCCATAGGGCAGAAAGCCGCCCTGCGCCTCGGACCAGTTGTTGGCATCGGCATACCAGAAGCCCACGCCAATGACCACCAGCATGACCCCAATGTTGACCAGGGTCAGCACGCTGTTGAAGACGGCCGTCGCCTTGACGCCGCTGCCCAGGGCCGCCGCATAGACAACGCAGACGAGAAAGGCCAGCACGTCCGGATACTGAGCCAGCCCCGGCTCATGCAGCCCGCCCATCAGCGACATGGTCGTATTGGCAATCCAGCCGCCCAGCATGGAGTCCACATAGCCGCTCCAGGCGCGCGCCACCGAGGCGGCGCCCAGCATGTGCTCCAGCAGAATATTCCAGCCGATGACAAAGGCCCAGAACTCACCGATCGATATATAGGTGTAGACATAAGCCGATCCAGCCTTCGGCACGCGCGTGCCGAACTCGGCATAGCAAAGCGCCGCCAGCATCGAAACAAATCCGGCGAGCACAAAGGACAAGATGATGCCAGGTCCGGCCATTTCCTTGGCCACGGTGCCAGTCAGCACGTAGATGCCAGCGCCCACCATGTGGCCAATGCCTAGATTGAATATGGAGTATAAATTATCTACCTATATCTATGTCTACATATATCCAACAGATATACCCAATAGTGCAATATCGAAGGTGGTCAGGCAGCGCTTCAGTGGCGTCTCCATCACGTCCGCTGGCACAGGCTTGGTGCGGTTCATCTTCGTGCATATGCCGGACATGATGTGTCCCAAAATGGCACGCCTCGAGCTAGGCATTGTCGTGCAGATAAATTCCTTGATTTATATATATATATATATATATATATATTCGGAATATATAAGATTATATTGATATATATTTCTCTATTGTCGCCCTTCGACCATATGTCACGGAAAATTCATATAAAAAATGCGCTCGTTCGTTTTCCCACTTGTTGTTGCTATTTTAATTGACTGCTTTTCGTTTGTTTATATGATTGATTCAGTTTTTTCCTTTTTCAATTATATTTGTTTTCCTTATTTCTTTCTGGTTGAATTTCTTTTTGCGGCTCCTGCGTTGCGTTGCACTTGTTGTACACGAACAGCTGTCTCCGTATCGATTTTTCCTTGGAGCAATTACTAGCCGCCCCCGCGCCTCGCCCACTTTTTGGCTGCCCCATTTGCAGCATTGCCAACACTGCGAGCGGCAAACGGTGTTGGCAAACTTTCCGTGAAGTTTTTGAATTTGATTAAACTTCTGTTTCTGATTGATTTTGATTTCATTTGATTTAAATTTCAATTTGAAGAGACTTGAAATTGTAATCTAGCTGCTAGCAGCCATTTGACATTTGAGCTGGCAGCTAAATTTAAACGAAAATTTTGGTAAAGTACCAGGCGAACAGAGATGATGAGTAGGGCACAAATATTGGTTGAACAGTGGTGCACTCTTAGTCGTTCAAGAGAGTAGTCTCATTTGCCCATAGAAGTATGCTACAAATTATTTGCATTGCAAAAACTGTTGCATAACTTTAGGCATGAAATATAAAATGAAAAATCTAAAACTTGCTTTAATATGAATATTTTACAGAGCTGAAATTATTTTTAAAATATTAGTATTTAATAAATAATTATAAACATTATATTCCCCATTATTTTACAATATCATTTATTATTTGTATTTTTTTGAAATCATTAAAGTATTTCTTTTATGTTTTTTGCTATAAAACCAACCTTAAAATTTCATCAGTCGTAATTGCAAAGAGTTAAACAAGATTTTTATTGATGCTGTGTTTTGTTTTTATACCTATGCAAATTTTTGTGCTCGCACATGCAAAATACGAGTTAAGTTTACTATTCAAAACTATAAAAAAAAAAAAAAAAAATAAATTCATGTTATTCTTTCTATCTACTTATATTTCATATATTACCTAATTAGTTTGTGGTTCTGGCGCTTTGGCTTTTCCAGATGCTGCCAGTTCAGCATCAGCCCAAAAGTATTTCCGGTTTTGAAGGCCGTTTCGCAAGCGACGACCGCTAACTGTAGACATAAAAGGAATTTCTGGCAGCGTATACCCCCCGGGTTGAATATCTTTAATCCATTCCTCACATTGAAACATCATTTCCTTGAGTTTTTCTTTCAATCGGCCTTCGAGATTTAGGCGTATTGAACGTCTTCATTTGTAGCCATTTTAATTTATTGTTTATTTATTTTTGTTGACTAGTTTGAAATCAGCAAGAAATATTGATAGACAATAATTAAGTATATGTTAATATGTATAATTGAATGCCTGCCCATAGGTTTACCATTAGCAGTCGATGCCAACTGTTTTTATATACGTAGATATAAGTATAGAAATATATCTATGTATGTATTCATACAAAGGTACTGAGCAATCAGCGAACGGCATCTAAATCGCCATGACCGCTTGCCGCCTGTCTTGTCTGTCACCACGAAGCACGAAGCGGACGCTGGGCATCCAAAAAAGTATGACTGCCAGTATTAATACCTGTTCGGGATGATCGGCCCGCACTGACTCTATAGTTGCATGACCAGCTCATCGGCGTGCCCGTTGCCGTTGTCGTTGTCGTTGCCGGGCCACGATTTCAGTTGCGACAATGACGGATTTTGGCATTTTGGCCCTAAAAATACATACAGAGGTGTTAGCCGTTTGACGTTGCGGATCTTTTGGCTGGAGTTGTCGCCGTTGCAGCGCCTCAGACCGGGTCAAGATGAAGACGACTTCGACGGCGGACGCTCGCCTCACGCGACTGCAAAGCGCAAAAAATAGAAATAAATAAATAAATGAAAAAACTCTATTTCAATGTTTAAAGCAGACAATCTGATGCTCTGATAATAAACAAAATATTTAAAGAAACACACGTTTTCAAATTATTTAAATGCATTTTTAACATATCGATAGCAAGAATTGCAGCTATCGATACATTGCAAATATTTAAAAAAAAATCTGCCAATTTGAGTTGCTTCTTATAAGCGAGCAGTTCTTATAAGAGTTTAGCATTAGGGCATGTGAGGTGCTGCCCATTTCTATGAGAAATTCGACATACTAAACTTTTCAGCATATGTCAAATGCTTGCACGAGGCGCGATCAATAAGTAACGGACATTTCTGCCTGCAACTCGAACTTATGCAAAAAAATGATGAAGACCTTTGAACAGTTATATGTGTGTGTGCAGCTGCATACTTGAGCGTTGCCACATCGAAAAATAAATATATTTTCAGCGAACATTTTAAAATACTTTTGAAACATGCCTCGTGAGCATCCCAAAAAAAATTTTTTTTTAAAGTAAATAACTCTTTTGTGGCCGGCCGTGCTGCTGTTTTAGCTGCTCTTTTCGCTAGCCAGCCCAGCTAGCTGCGACTGCCGCTGCTGCTTCTGCTGCTGTAGCTGCTGCCGTTGATGCTTTTTGTTTTTTTTTGCATCTGCTGCGCCTTTGGATTTTGAAAACGATTTTAGTTAAAACATGCGACGTGTGAGTATATAAACGAAGACGCGTCTTTTCCAAGCTTAGTGCGACTTCGAACTCTTAACCAGCCGGCGATCAAACTAACTCTTTCTCTCTGTCTCTCTCCACCCAAGCAGCGTTCAACTAGCAATTCCTGTAAGTTCAATCAAGTCGCAGAATTTCTTAAGAAAACATCATTTGTGCATTTCAAAATAATCGATCAGACTAATATAAAGTGCAAAGTGCAGTGCGTGGGCGTTCCGAAAACTCTATGACTTACAGCAAATGCTAAAAATAGTGACATAAACCAATAATCAGAATTGATTTGCAGACTTTTAAAAAGTTGCGAAATATTATGACTGTGCTTGAACTGAACATATTGCAACAAAAAATGTTGTAAAATCTAAAAGCTTATTTGTAAGTAGGTTTATAGTGATTAAAAAAGTTTGAACAAGAGTTTTTTAATAAATGTTGGGTAAAGTATTGAAAATAAATCTACAAAGATTCTATAATTATATACTTTCTGAAATTACATTTTCAAAATATATAATAAATTATAATTATAATAAATTCTTATATTTATTACGAAACTGTAATTGAAAATACTAATATAAACATTGATTCTTCTTAATAATATGAAATTAACATAATTGATGCACGATTTGACTTTTAAATATAAAATTATTATAATATATTAAGCATTTAATTTAATTACTTATTATTTAAGTTTATTATAGTTTTTATGTGGAATTAAATTTATTTAATACTTTAAAAGGGAGAATTAAATATAGTAAATGAATAAATAATAGTAATTTTTAAAAATAGTTAATAGGTGACATTTATTTTTATTTATATAGTCCCTAGCAGAAAATACAAAATATCAATTGAGGAAAGGAAAATTCGATGAATTAGAAAAATTTAAATTTTTTCCCTACGCCAAAACTCTTTTGATTTCAGAAGCCAAATAAATATTTTTCAAAAAATGTATTGAGTTGTAGAAAAAATATTTTTTCCAAAAGTTGTTAAGTCACAAAAGTATATATATATTTATATAATTCCGTGAATTGCAGAAAAACCAAACACAACTTTTATGAGTAAAGCAAAAATAAAGGTATTTGATTGCAGATGTTTAAGGAAAATGCTGAGTAAAGATACTAAAAAAAAAAAAAAAAAAAAAATAATAATAATAATAATAATAATAATAATAAAATTCTATAGTTTCAAATATTTTAGCAATATTTTATTGAAAATATGAAAAATAGAAAAAAGCCATTAAAGTAATTAATAATAAGAATATATATACAAATAATTTTATTGTTTTTTGGAATCTGCATTCAACATTTTCTGCATAAATTTAGAGAAGCCAAGAAGTTAGATGCAATCCAAAGAGAATTCTCTTCACACGACTTTATAGATATGTGCAAGCATTGGATGAGCTTAGCAATTCAATTTCATTCGCATCATTAAGCTCACGAAGTCGACATTTAGTTTTGTTTAATATTAATTTGTTTTAATGAATTAAAAGACGTTTAATAAATTGCTAAGATCGCATTGACTTAATTATGGGCTTAGGCAACATTAAACGAAGTTTGTGTAACCATCATGGGCAAGGCCGAATCCAACTGATTAGAGCCGGAAAAAAAGCACTTTAGATGGACAGCGATACGCTATCGTCAAGTCATTTATTATTCGCGCACATTTTGGCGCTAATTTATAGACTATATCAATTGTGGACAAGGTGCAGTTCCTGACGAAGCCTTGAGAGCCGCTTAATGAGGATGCCGAATTTCACATGCGAGATTCATTAATATGTCCGCAATCAGCTTATCCGGATTTGCTAATCTCAGCTCGCAAGACCCAAAAAAAAAAAAAAAAAAAAAAAGAAGAAGAAAAAAACTGTCCTACTTTGTTTGCCTTAGACTTCAACGACTACTGCTATATGGCAAATGTTGATGCCCATAAAAAGTTGCTGGCGAGCACCGAAACGCAAATACACTATTTGCTGATGGTAAGAGTTCAAATCAAATATTGTTGCAACCCCAAAAAGACGCCTCTACGAATAACACAAAAAAAAAAAAAAAACCTTTACCAAACAAAACAGAAACAGCGAAAACTATAAGAAAAAACAACAACAAAATCAACAACAAAAACAAACAAATAAGCTAATGCGAATAAATTTATATAAAGTCGGTTATTATTGGGCCAACCTTTTAGCTGTCGATTCGCCAAGACGAGCTTTGCGATAGTTAAGATAAAAAACCTTTTCATTGAGCGGCGCAAATTGATGCTTGTCCAGAAAAAAACACGTAATTAAAGCTCAATTTAAACTTGACATAATTACATATCAAACAATTTTGGATATTATGTAAGAATTCTTAGACTAGGCGAAATTGCGTATACGCCAGATGGACCGCGCTGCAAATGCAACAGTTCACAGTACACACCTACTATGATGACTGATGACAAAAGCTGGATGACTGTGAAAAAAACAGAGAGCTACACATGTGCGCAGATATGTACATTTATATATGTATATATATTATATTCATATAAATATATGTGCACAATGCGTGGCTGAGGCGTCGTCGTCGTCGTCGTCGTCGTCGCCAAAGCCTGTTGGGTAATCTCACCTGTTTGCCATGACGAATACACGAGCACGAATATGAATACGAATACGAATACGCATACACAAGCCGTAGTGTAAGCACCCATGTCTGTCCGGCTGTCTGTCCGTTCGTCTGGCTGTCTGTCTGTCTGTCTGTCTGTCTCGCGTTTGCCCAAATGGCAAAAGTTCACGGCAAGATCATCAATGTCCAAGTTATTATTTATTTCGTTTTGTATGCAGTCAATAAAAAAACATCTTTTTATACGCCAATCATATGTATAGTGAAGATGCTAAAGATGCTCAAGATACTCAAGATCTCATCAATTGCCACAACAAATTGTTAGTTAGTGTTAAGCTGCCTATATCGTATGTACCTTAGTCTCTGTACTAATTCTTGCATATATTTGCATATTTGCAATCAGTTTCGAGCAATATAAATTTCATTTCAATTCTAATTTACGTTTGTTAAGAGCGGCGCATTTATTGTCAGTTACCTGTTGAAAAAAAAAAGAAATTAAACAACAATTTTAAAATATTTCTTTTAACTAAGATAAAGTACTTTGCGTTTAACGCCGCGATGCCTCAAAGAATTTTCGAAAATAATAGAAACAACTCAGAAACCAGTCAGCAAATCAAAGACTCCGTTTGGGATCGGGGTTCAAGTAACCATTAGGCAACAATATGCACAAATTGCGCATTGATAATTCAGCATAACAACAACAACAACAAATAATAAATATATGTATAAAGAAATAATAATTTAGGGAATCCAAAATGTTGAAGGTCATTCGAACGGATTGAATAAACAAAGATGAATGAATGGCTTGTAAAGTATTCGACAAAATGTGGTAGCTACGTCGTCTTCAAGAGTTAAGTCATCATTGGGTCAAGCAGACATACAAATCATATAGGTATAGGTATGTTTGTTTATGTGTATATATGCAGATTATTCGGGCTATACAATCCGAATGGCTTGCCACACGCCCTCTCAAAATTGACCATTTATTAATGACACCTCTTGCCTTATAAATGATATTACAATCATTTTAAATCGCGCTCCAAACCGGTTTTAAAACACTTTCAACTCTGTAATAAACAAATCTCTGAAATCTGGATCAAACTTAATTTCACATTGAATATGTCTATACAAATATATCATCTTTTATATAGTACATATGCTAAATTTATTTTATAATGTCAGAAGAAAGTGTTTGACGATTAATGAAGTTTTAATGGGTTGAAAAGTGAATTTCTTATTTTACTTTTGATTTCTTTTAATATGCAAAGGAATTATATTAAAACGTTTGAATAGCTTTTCTTACAAAGACCTGAAATAGTCTAAAATAATACTCCATTTTTAGCCTTACCTAAACAAGAAAAAAAGTTTACTTTGCATTTACTAATTAAAATTGGATTGGCTTCAAATTTCAATGACAATAAATTATGCAAATGTCGTTTATTTTTATTTGATTATTTACAAATTAGACAATTTCTTAATTTATACTGATCCCATTCCTTTAATTTGTCTAACGCAATAAAAAGTGGCATGAAATTCGTGCAAAAATGAGGTCAATACCCAAAACTGCTATTAGACCTTAAAAAACTCGTTTAATTGAAACCAGATCTTTCATTATATCTTTTCGAGCTCGTTAGAATTATTCTTTTGATTAGCATTTACAAAAATAAAAAAATCGATATTATTTACAAACAAAGTCAATTGGTTTCTCTTATTTATAGCCAACGAAATTTTTGTGCATTTCTGAAATCCGGCTTATCGAAATTCTCAATGTCTTAACCTTGCCAAAACTGCAGTCTGAACTTGAGAAACTGCGAATTCTCGAACTCTTGCGATTGTTTTATTATATACCATAATTTTTATTATATATTATAATTGCTATCAAGGCTGCATAAATTATTGCGAATCTTTTGCGAAGCTGAACAAATTAAATATATATATAAAAAAACAAAAAATTAATTTTAAAAAAATTAATAAAATTTTAGCAAATCAGATTTACCTTGAAGCCATAACATAAAGTCGATCTTTATAGCTTTAGTATTCTTTCTGCCACATTCCAGGGACTAAATAATTCAGAATGATATTTTATTAAAGTATATATTTAGCTGTCAAAAAACGAGAGATATAAATGTGAATTCGCTGCTGATAATTGATCATTGGAGATTAATATTTTCGGCAGAAATTTGCATATATCATTATGTTAATATCTATTGTTATATATCTATATATAGTATATATTTGGACAACGAATTAGCAGCTACTATTAATATATAATAATATTTATGCATATTAGAAGAGGAAAATAACACTTTAATTACATTTACGTTTAATTTGCAACAGGTTTTAGATTGAGCGACAATCCACTGAAAATGGTCAAAGCTGGCCACATAATACTTTTGACTCAGCTTTTGGTATGGAACGCGCAATAACGCCAAACGTATTGAGTTTCAATTAATTTATTATTGCATTTGAAAGGTCATTGCTGGCGGCACAGATCTGAGGAAAGGCGATGATTATGTCGATAATGAAGTCAGCCCAGCCGAGGTGGCATTATCGTTCCCCCGAGTTTCGCGGAAAAGCGCCGCATACGACGGCAACATTGAGAAGATCGACGTCAAATGCGATACGTCGAATGGGATGATAGTCGAAGTGGAATTCGCTGAGATCTTTAATGGAGTGATATACAGTCAAGGATATTACAATGATCCCAAGTGCAGGTATGTAGAATTTGAATGCCTTCAATTTGATTGACTTACCCACTCCTTTCTAGATATGTGAGCGCTGGAAGTAATGAGCGTCGATTTGTTTTCAAAGTGCCCTTCGATGGCTGTGGCAGCAAGCCATCCTGTTCAATATGCGCTTCTGTGGACAATATACTGATCATACAGAATGACCAGGATATTCAAGAGAGCTGGGACACGGCACGCAAGATCACATGCAGTCGCAGCGATGAGCAGGAGAAGACTGTGTATTTTCGACCATTTGTTGTCGACATGCTGGAAGTAATATCGGTAGAGACTCCAAGCGGTCCAGTTGAATGCTGGATGGAGATAGGCACAGGTCTTCCACCGAATATCAAGCCAATTAACTATACTTTAAAGTTGGGCACGGATATAACATTTACGATGAATGTCAAACAGACAACACAGACCTGGGATATTAACATCTTGCAATGCTATGCTTCCGATGATCCTGATTTCGATACAGGCACCGCAAACAAATTGCAGCTTTCCGATAAAAATGGTTGCTCTCTGAAGACAAAAGTATTTGGGCAATGGAAAAAATTGGAGTCATCTCCTGGCCAAACGTTAACTTATTACAATACGCTTAAAGCTTTCAAGTTCCCCGATCGATCTCAGGTGTACTTAAAATGTGATATTGAACTATGTAATGGTGCTTGCGAAAGAAACTTCGCTTGCGGTGAGGAGCTAATAGTGCCAACAAAGCCACGTTGCTCTGCTGGCTCAACAGATCCTGATTGTCAACCAGGAACAATTCGACCCCTTGTAACGCCAAAGACACCAAGGTGTTATCCGGGCTCCACTGATCCCCGTTGTCCTCAAGAGCCAAAAACAACAGTTTCACCTAACTGCTATCCTGGATCACGAGATCCTCGTTGTCAAGAAGAACCCATAACTACATCGAAGCCAAAATGCTATCCAGGATCGACAGATCCCGACTGTCAACCAGCCACTTACCTTCCTCCAACTACACGACGGCCATCAGTCACTACACAGCGCCCCCCTGTAACTCCAACTAAGCCTAGATGTTATCCGGGCTCGACTGATCCCCGTTGTCCTCAAGAGCCAAAGACAACCGTTTCACCTAACTGCTATCCTGGATCACGAGATCCTCGTTGTCAACAAGAACCCATAACTACATCGGAGCCAAAATGCTATCCAGGATCGACAGATCCCGATTGTCAACCAGCTACTTACCTTCCTCCAACTACACGACGGCCATCAGTCACTACACAACGTCCTCCTGTAACTCCAACTAAGCCAAGATGTTATCCAGGCTCAACTGATCCTCGTTGTCCTCAAGAGCCGAAAACGACAGCTGCGCCTAATTGCTATCCTGGATCACGAGATCCTCGTTGCCCACGGGAGCCCATCACCACACAAAAGCCTCGTTGCCTTCCAGGATCGATCGATCCCGATTGTCAGCCAGCGACTTACCTTCCTCCAACTACACGACGTCCACCAGTCACTACACAGCGCCCTCCTGTTACCCCGATTAAACCAAGATGTTATCCGGGCTCGACTGATCCCCGTTGTCCTCAAGAGCCGACGACGACAGATGCACCTAACTGCTATCCTGGATCACGAGATCCTCGTTGCCCCCAGGAGCCAAAAACTACTTTAAAGCCGCGCTGCTATCCTGGTTCAACAGATCCTGGTTGCTCAACTACACGACGTCCACCGCTGACTACGACAAAGCCAAGGTGCTATCCAGGCTCTACTGATCCGCGCTGTCCAAAGGAACTCACTACAACCACCTCAACTCCTGCATGTTATCCAGGATCAAAGAAACCTGAATGCCTTAACTGCTTCCCAGGATCACCAGATCCAAGGTGTCCCAAAGTACCAACGACAAAAAGACCTGGTTGTTATGACGGATCAAGTGATCCGAAATGTCAACCAGCCACTTATTTGCCTCCAATAAAGACAACGAGAATTCCCGGAAATCTAGTTACACCATCAAAACCAATATGCCGTCCAGGTTCAAGTGATCCCCGTTGTCCTCAAGAGCCAAAGACAACAACAGCGCCCAAATGTTATCCTGGATCACGAGATCCACGGTGCCCAAAAGAACCCACAACCACACAAAAATCCCGTTGCCAGCCTGGATCGACAGATCCCGACTGTCAGTCAACTACTTACCTTCCTCTAACTACAACAAGTCCACCTATTACTACGACAGAGCCAAGGTGCTATCCAGGCTCAACTGATCCTCGTTGTCCTCAAGAGCCGAAAACGACTGCAAGGCCCAACTGCTATCGGGGATCTACCGATCCTCGTTGTCCTCAAGAGCCAAAGACAACAGCTGCACCTAACTGCTATCCTGGATCACGAGATCCTCGTTGCCCACGGGAGCCCATAGCCACACAAAAGCCGCGTTGCCTTCCTGGATCAACAGATCCCGATTGCCAGCCAGCTACTTATCTGCCTCCAACTACCAGAAGTCCACCTGTGACAACTACAAAACCAAGATGCTATCCGGGCTCGACTGATCCTCGTTGTCCTCAAGAGCCGAAAACGACAGCTGCGCCTAATTGCTATCCTGGATCACGTGATCCTCGATGCCCACGGGAGCCCATCACCACACAAAAGCCTCGTTGCCTTCCAGGATCCACAGATCCCGCTTGTCAGCCAGCTACGTACCTTCCCCCAACTACACGACGTCCATCAGTCACTACACAACGTCCTCCTGTAACTCCATCTAAGCCAAGATGTTATCCAGGCTCAACTGATCCTCGTTGTCCTCAAGAGCCAAAGACAACAGCTGCACCAAACTGCTATCCTGGATCACGAGATCCTCGTTGCCCACGGGAGCCCATAACTACACAAAGGACACGTTGCCTTCCAGGATCCACAGATCCTGATTGCCAGCCAGCTACTTATCTGCCTCCAACTACCAGAAGTCCACCTGTGACAACTACAAAACCAAGATGCTATCCGGGCTCAACTGATCCTCGTTGTCCTCAAGAGCCGAAAACGACAGCTGCGCCTAATTGCTATCCTGGAGCACGTGATCCTCGATGCCCACGGGAGCCCATCATCACACAAAAGCCTCGTTGTCTTCCAGGATCCACAGATCCCGCTTGTCAGCCAGCTACGTACCTTCCCCCAACTACACGACGTCCATCAGTCACTACACAACGTCCTCCTGTAACTCCAACTAAGCCAAGATGTTATCCAGGCTCAACTGATCCTCGTTGTCCTCAAGAGCCGAAAACGACAGCTGCGCCTAATTGCTATCCTGGATCACGTGATCCTCGATGCCCACGGGAGCCCATAACCACACAAAAGCCGCGTTGCCTTCCTGGATCAACAGATCCCGATTGCCAGCCAGCTACTTATCTGCCTCCAACTACAAGAAGTCCACCTGTGACAACTACTAAACCAAGATGCTATCCGGGCTCGACTGATCCCCGTTGTCCTCAAGAGCCAAAGACAACAGCTGCACCTAACTGCTATCCTGGATCACGAGATCCTCGATGCCCCCCGGAGCCAACAACTACTTCAAAGCCGCGCTGCTATCCTGGTTCAACAGATCCTGGTTGCTCAACTACACGACGTCCACCGCTGACTACGACAAAGCCAAGGTGCTATCCAGGCTCTACTGATCCGCGCTGTCCAAAGGAACTCACTACAACCACCTCAACTCCTGCATGTCATCCAGGATCAAAGAAACCTGAATGCCTTAACTGCTTCCCAGGATCACCAGATCCAAGGTGTCCCAAAGTACCAACGACAAAGAGACCTGGTTGTTATGACGGATCAAGTGATCCGAAATGTCAACCAGCCACTTATTTGCCTCCAATAAAAACTACCAGAATTCCCGGAAACCAAAAAACTCCAACAACATCAGGCTGTTATCCTGGATCAACCGACCCTCGTTGTCCTCAAGAGCCAAAGACGACAGCTGCGCCTAATTGTTATCCTGGATCACGAGATCCTCGTTGTCCACGGGAGCCCATAACCACACAAAAGCCACGTTGCCTTCCTGGATCAACAGATCCCGATTGTCAGCCAGCTACTTATCTGCCTCCAACTACAAGAAGTCCACCTGTGACAACTACTAAACCAAGATGCTATCCGGGCTCGACTGATCCTCGTTGTCCTCAAGAGCCAAAGACGACAGCTGCCCCTAATTGCTATCCTGGATCACGTGATCCTCGTTGCCCACGGGAGCCTATAACCACACAAATACCTCGATGTCTGCCTGGATCGACAGATCCAGATTGCCAGCCAGCTACGTACCTTCCTCCAACTACACGACGTCCAACAGTCACTACACAACGTTCTCCTGTAACTCCAACTAAGCCAAGATGTTATCCGGGCTCGACTGATCCCCGTTGTCCTCAAGAGCCGACGACGACAGCTGCACCTAATTGCTATCCTGGATCACGAGATCCTCGATGCCCACGGGAACCCATAACTACACAAAAGCCCCGCTGTCTTCCTGGATCAACAGATCCCGATTGTCAGCCAGCTACTTATCTGCCTCCAACTACAAGAAGTCCACCTGTGACAACTACTAAACCAAGATGCTATCCGGGCTCAACTGATCCTCGTTGTCCCCAAGAACCGAAGACGACTGCAAGACCCAACTGCTATCCCGGATCTACCGATCCTCGTTGTCCTCAAGAGCCGACGACGACAGCTGCGCCTAATTGCTATCCTGGATCACGTGATCCTCGTTGCCCACGGGAGCCTATAACCACACAAATACTTCGATGTCTGCCTGGATCGACAGATCCGGATTGCCAGCCAGCTACGTACCTTCCTCCAACTACACGACGTCCAACAGTCACTACACAACGTCCTCCTGTAACTCCAACTAAGCCAAGATGTTATCCAGGCTCAACTGATCCTCGTTGTCCTCAGGAACCGAAGACGACTGCAAGACCCAACTGCTATCCCGGATCTACCGATCCTCGTTGTCCTCAAGAGCCAAAGACGACAGCTGCGCCTAATTGCTATCCTGGATCACGAGATCCTCGTTGCCCACGGGAACCCATAACTACACAAAAGCCCCGCTGTCTTCCTGGTTCAACAGATCCCGATTGTCAGCCAGCTACTTATCTGCCTCCAACTACCAGAAGTCCACCTGTGACAACTACAAAACCAAGATGCTATCCGGGCTCAACTGATCCTCGTTGTCCTCAAGAGCCGACGACGACAGCTGCACCTAATTGCTATCCTGGATCACGAGATCCTCGATGCCCACGGGAACCCATAACTACACAAAAGCCCCGCTGTCTTCCTGGTTCAACAGATCCCGATTGTCAGCCAGCTACTTATCTACCTCCAACTACAAGAAGTCCACCTGTAACTACGACAAAACCTGTAACTACGACAAAACCAAGATGCTATCCGGGCTCAACTGATCCGCGCTGTCCAAAGGAGCTTACTACAACCACCTCAACTCCTGCATGTTATCCAGGATCAAAGGAGCCTGAGTGCCTAAACTGCTTCCCAGGATCACCAGATCCAAGGTGTCCCAAAGTATCAACGACAAAAAGACCTGGTTGTTATGACGGATCAAATGATCCGAAATGTCAACCAGCCACTTATTTGCCACCAATAAAAACTACGAGAATTCCCGGAAACCAAAAAACTCCAACAACATCAGGTTGTTATCCCGGATCAACCGACCCTCGTTGTCCTCAAGAGCCAAAGACGACAGCTGCGCCTAATTGTTATCCTGGATCACGAGATCCTCGTTGCCCACGGGAGCCTATAACCACACAACAACCCCGTTGTCTGCCTGGATCGACAGATCCCGATTGCCAGCCAGCTACTTACCTTCCTCCAACTACACGACGTCCACCTGTGACTACGACCACGTTAAGATGTTATCCAGGCTCAACTGATCCTCGTTGTCCCCAAGAACCGAAGACGACTGCAAGACCCAACTGCTATCCCGGATCTACCGATCCTCGTTGTCCTCAAGAGCCAAAGACGACAGCAGCACCTAATTGCTTCCCTGGATCACGAGATCCTCGTTGCCCACGGGAGCCTATAACCACACAACAACCCCGTTGTCTGCCTGGATCGACAGATCCCGATTGCCAGCCAGCTACTTACCTTCCTCCAGCTACACGACGTCCACCTGTGACTACGACCACGTTAAGATGTTATCCAGGCTCAACTGATCCTCGTTGTCCTCAAGAACCGAAGACGACTGCAAGACCCAACTGCTATCCCGGATCTACCGATCCTCGTTGTCCTCAAGAGTCAAAGACGACAGCTGCGCCTAATTGTTATCCTGGATCACGAGATCCTCGTTGCCCACGGGAGCCTATAACCACACAACAACCCCGTTGTCTGCCTGGATCGACAGATCCCGATTGCCAACCAGCTACTTACCTTCCTCCAACTACACGACGTCCACCTGTGACAACGCCTAAATCAAGATGTTATCCAGGCTCAACTGATCCTCGTTGTGCTGAAGAACCAAGAACGACTACAAAACCAAACTGCTATCCTGGATCAACTGATATTCGTTGTTCACAGAGTTTAGTAACATCAACTGTACCTCCAAATACAACTCCTATTTATTGTTATCCAGGCTCTGTAGATCCCCGCTGTCCGGATACCTATAAGGGGTCAACGCCCATCCCGGCAACGTATTTGCCACCATTGAGCGACCCGGGTTACGACAGGACAGTTAGAGATGCGAAGAGCCAATTCTTTAATGAGATTAACAAATTGGCGATCACAAATAATAATATTTTTGAGTTAGACGACGATGAGGATATTGAGCCAGCGCGAGTAAAACGTGATCTAAGCGATTTAAATATAGATCCAATAACTTCCACCGATCAAGGCGATGATCTTTTGTCCAGAAAAATAATGAAGCGCGAATTCAACGAACGGCAACCAGAGAGGGAGGTCATTTCCTTCACTCTTGGCATTCGGACCGCTATCAAAGTGAATTAGCCAGAGTGCAACAGTGCCAGCAAATGAACTCTCTCGCATTTAGGTTATCGTTTAAACATGTATTATGCCTACATATTTATATCTTACTATTAAACGTATTCATTCAAACATACTCGATTGCTAGTGTTCTAAGTGTAAGTAAACTCAGCTTATAACGAATGATTTATGTACATTTTAATTCATACAAATAAAAGTAAATACAAAACGAATCGGCTGCATTTCTTTTCCATTATATTTGTATGTGCTGGTATTTTCCTGCAAATCGAGTTTTTTTTTAAATGAAAAAAAAAAAAAAAAAAAAAACAAGATATTTAAAATATCTGTTTAGAATTTTCTAAGTTGCAAGCTATAAGAATATACCAGATCAAGACTGGTAATTAATTAAATTACAAAAAGGTATCAAATACATTGGAAATAATTCTGATTGCACACTAGGGTTTTGATTAATTAGATATTTAGGTAAATTAAACTTTATTCTTAAATGAGCTTTGAATATTTGTTGCCACGCGCCCGTTCTAGAGGGCTCATCGAAAATATTCATCTATATGGTTTATTTATCTAAAGTTTAGCAGAAACTCGCTGATATTATTCGATCGCCCGATATCATAAGGTATACAGTTAAAACACATTAAATATATTAAACAATTAAGTACTTATGTCTCTGGATAGCGGCAATATGAATTGCTTTCGATAGATTCGCTGGGTATCCATTCCTCAAATAGAGGCAAACGATTCTTGAGTGCTTCGATTTCGCGCAGAATTCTCATAACATTTCCGCCCACCAGTTTCTTGATCGCCGCATTGCCCCAGACGCGATCGCGAGCCAACTCGGCCAGCAGTAGAGCATAGCTCTTGGGAGCACCACCCAGACCAATATGGTCCACACCAGCCACCTTGCGTACATAGTTTATGGCAATTATGGCCTCCCTTACATTAATTGGTCGATCTCCACAGCGCTCCAAGTTCAGTAGAATCACACCCCCATTTTCGGGCAGCAGGCTGAAATATTTTCGTTAAACAACAGAAACTCGAATTTGGAGACTGAAGGCCTACCTGAGTACATGGTCTGGTATAGAAGCCACATTGGTACCATTACACATGGAGAGTGGGCTAGCATTCATTAGGAGAACAGGTGCCTTGGCGGTGCGCAGGGCTATTATCATTGCCGCCTCGCTCAGCTGCGATATCTCCACCAACATGCCCAGCCGATTCATTTCGTATAGCATTGTCTGAAAAGAAAAAAAGTTGATTTTATTTTATTAAAAAAATAATAAAAATAAATGAAAAATATTTTATAAATAAAATACATATACATAAAAATAGAACTATGTATTTAAACAAATTTAACTATAACAAAAAGTAAATAATTAAATTGAAATTTAGATATTATAAATATATATTCCAAATGTCATTTCATTAGTTTGCATTCACCTTGCCGAATTCATTAAGCGAATTGGTCGCATTCTCTTCCGCTAGATAGTCCCTTCTCCTGATGGCAGCAGAAGCCCAAGGTGTGGTGCACTCCAAGCTGGTAATTGAAACGAATCGGGCGCCCAGCAGGTAAAGCGAGCGTAGAACGGCAAGGCTGGTGCCCAGGGCGTGGCCGCCACCGATGCCCATAAGCACAGCCAGCTCGCCTCTTATATGGGTCTGTTCCATCTCGTCGGCCGACTCCACAATGTGCATGGAATTCGTGGAGGCTGTGATGCGTTTCGCCTCATCGATGCCCTCCAGAACCAGCTGCACTGCATCCAGATACTGGGCACCGCAGTGCACAGCGATGGGCCACAACACGGCACCAATATGATTTTGCCTAATGTCGGCCATGCCGCTGCTGTTCAGCTTGACATCACTGGGCGGCTTCCATGAGCCCTCGATCAGTGGTGATTCCGTCAGCAGCCGCCGAATGAAGGCCAAGCGTGCCTCCAGCAGCGACGAGGAGCGCAATTGAAGGGCCAATGGAATGCCACCAGCCATGGCAATGCACACAAGTACCACGCAAATACCCACTAAAATCTTGCGACCACGCGCACCACCCGGACGCTCAGCGGACGACTCGCTGCAGGAGTCCTTCTTGCAATTGTAGCTCGGAATGCCACCATTGGCGCAATGCAGCTTCTCATTGCCACCGCCAAACTTCGTTATCTCCGCTGGCAGCTCAATGTCCGCGATCTCTGTGAACACAAAGCATTGCTGCTTGCAATGCGGCTGATGCTGATGCAGCGGATGCACCTCCATAAAATCACGATTTGGCACTGAATTCATTGCATCCTCTTAAGTATGCAACAATCTTTATCTGTAGCTTTACCCCTATCTGTATCTGTATTAAACAGATTTTTCCAAAATAAACAGCACTACGCGAGAACTTCGTTGTATTGATTTTCGTTTTTCAATTTACTCGCACCGAGGTCCTGCGCACTGAAATCCTGTGGATTCTTTCGAAAGTCTGGCAGCACCTCTAAACAAATTTTAAGAAGCAAATTAATATTTCTAATTGGAATACATTAGTGGGCTAAATTCAAAATATGAAACGTGATTTACATATTATATTATATATAAATATTTAATTTTTATTTATTAAAATGTTCTTAATAATAATTTATTTAAATTTTAATAACCAAAAATACAATTTATAGCTAACTTATTAAATACGTACCCATTACTTAATTACTTATTATAGTTTTTTATGAGCAGCTAGCACAATTTTCATTAGTGCGTGGTGCGGCAGAGTCTCCAGCACGCACAGCAGTTGAATATGATTCGTTATGTAGTTGGAGGACAGCGCTATTTGCACGGCTTGAGCAAAGCGCTCCATGCACTTGATGTAGGCAGCATCCTCTTCAGGTGCCACTTTGGTCTCAACAAGATGGGCGCAGTACTTTTGTAAAGATGTCACAATCTGCATTAGATCCTGCGCATGCAAAGGCGTTGACTCGCCGTTATTAACTGTCTTCAGTAGTGTGTGTAGCAACGATAAATGCAAATTGCTATAAGCCTGTCGATTCGAGACCAATGGGGCCAAAACCACCCAGCGCAACAAACCGGCGAGCGGTGTAGTAAACGGCATGGCAATGGCGCCGGCAGGCAGAACAAGAGGCTGCTGTGGTGCCTGACAGAGCTGCGGATTCTCTGTCGTCCATTCTGTAATGACATCCAGAAGTCCATCTGGTGGTGGGGTCAGAACACCGCCACGCTTCTCATTTAGGTATAGATCGGCCACGGCTACCATAAAATTGGCTGCAAAGTGCGGACCAACCAATGGCAGATGTCGCAATTGCTCAGGAGTTTTGCGCGAGAACGAGATGAAGTCGCTCACTATATTCTGAGCAACCTCCAAGCTCGGCTGCGTTTTGCAGCCAACTTGTTGCATCCATGTGCCAGCCGAGGAGAGCAGTGGGGCTACCGAGCCCGATACCGCAGTGCTAATTAGTCTGGATAGGAGCCTAGAACGCTGTGGGGTCAAGTGACTACCAAACAGAGAGAGAAATATCGCATTGCGAGTGTCATCCCGGCCAGGCCTTGAAAAATAGTCAATGAGTGCGAGAATCAATTGAAACTCCTGATAGATATTCATTTGGCTGATGCCCCCCACTGTTTGCATTTTGCGAACATCTCCATCCTTGGCACGTTCCAGAAAAATGAATTCCGAAATGATTTGCATTGCCAAGTTCTGTTTGTTACGGCTGGCAATGAGAGTTTCTGCAAGTAGACATAAACATTGCATACAATAGCTCCATGAGGACTCGATATTTTATACCCACCTAATCGAGTTAGTGCCTCAACTGCACACATTGGATACTCAAATTTCCTTAAACTCACTTTACCATCGCCTACAGAAGCCATTTCTGTAAAAATTTTAAATACGTTTTCTACAAATGTTGTTTTCGGTCTGCGGTTATTGTTTTACAGTTCAGTGTACGTTTTTCCGAACAGCTGATTGACAAATCAAAAATCGTTCAATTATCGATAACAATGTTAGCGGAATTTTTCAAAAGTCTCCCTTCGCTACAAAAATTCCGATACATAAGCTTAGAATTAAACCATTTTCAATGCGTTTCGGGTATAAAAAAAAAAACAATAAATTGGAAAAAGACGGCAATATCATTTATTTTGATCAATGGTAAAAGTGTTTCTTTTTCCTAATGCATTATTACCAATTAATGTATGGTCAAATTTAAATTACATATGTATGTAAATAGCGCTATCATTATTGCATGTATTGATTATAAAATAAAATTGGGGGTTTGTTATATCAGTAATTTGGTTAAACTTTGTTAACAGCAAACACATCAGTTAGTGTCGAAACTAAAGTCTGTTTAACGTGGGATGCGACTACTGCCCTAAATCAATAAGTAATTAACAATTAAAAATGTATTAAAAGCCCGCTTGCTCCTATATTCAGTTAAAATTTGAATTATTACCGAACGTATTCAGTCTGATCGATATATTTAACCGAACGCAATGCGAATCGAAAGTTGACAAAGTAGTTAAAATGGCAAATGTTAAACAAAATGATTCGGCACATCTTGAAACTTGATAATAATTAAAAGCCAATACACAATACATAGGCATGTAAATAAATATACATACATATGGGTAATAAAGTTTAAAAAAATACTATTGTTTCTCGAAAAGCTTTGAACAATATCCATACATACGCGCATCTGGGCGTTTGTGTTTGTGTCCGATTATGTGTGAGACAATGTCAATGTACCTTATATAACTTTAATTCTAATTGTAAGTCATGCTGCTCATCCACATGTTTTTTTTTTTTGTAATGGCAGTCTTGTGTTTGTCGCCGTCCCGGCTAACCAATTGCAATTTCCAACTTTCTGCTGGCTGCTGATTGCTGGGACATGCGCACCACATTTAGATCGACATTGGGAGTTTACTTACGACTAATTCAGAGTAATCACGTACCTATTTATGTAGACTTACGCATTAGAGGATTTGAACACACACAAACATAGGAAAATATCTAAAGACTAATCGAAAGGGATGAAACTTAAACTGGATATTATATGATTGAAAGTTGATTGTGGTAAAAAATCGATTGCATATACTTTAGAATTAACAAGTATTCGTTTATAGCTATAGATTCTGACTTTTCTTTTTTGACTAATAAACCCCATTTTCATATTGCAAACCTCTACTGCGCAGACACCACATAAATAAAACGATAAGCGAATTGCGGGCTTAGGTCATGTTC